CTGCTGAATATTGCTTTCTCTCGTCTGCTTTGTTCTTTATTGAAGCAATTTCTGAAGTCTACAGGATTAAGAACATTAGCAGAAAAAACATCCTGAAAGCTTTTCAATAACGTTAGAGTTAACAGTATATATTTTGGGAAATATGGAATGGAAAATCTGAGCTTTGAAACTATAAAGTGTGAAATGCACCAGGTATGAAATACTGAGGAATCTCTGCAGATCACTGAGGTCCAGTCCCTACCCTCTGTCAATCAGTTTGACTTTCTTCCTTATTGGGGTCAATATGTACTATTACATTTCTTGTCAAATAAAAAGACCAAGAATATCTACAATGATAACACCAATGATAGAACCAAACAACAAGCCCTATCACCTACACTGTGCTACATCAACGTGTTAAGACAATCCTGACTCCTGTGCCAACTTGCTATGATTGCCTTCCCAACTTACAATCTTACATTTTAAAACCTCTACTCATAAAGGCAGCCATAAGATTTTTAGAGATTAACATGAATTTCACTGTGAAGTCTGCTAGATAAAAGAGGATCGGAGAATGACAAAGATGCCATCCTCCAGAAAACAAAGAGGTCCTTAACATATCCATAGTTTGATTTGCCTGAAAATCAATTCTCTTTCCTTGCTCTTAGGGTCAGGAAAATTGCTACTGCAAACCAGACATTTATCAAAGACCTCGTTAGACAGTGAAGAGGCAAGATTCTTTAATCTGACAATTTTTCTTGCTAAGTGTTAGTGAGGAGGGAGAGAGAATTAAAAGGAATCAATGACACTCTAGATCTTTGAAGTTCTTTGCAGAGACAGAGGAGAATATTATCCCTAACCTTTACCCCCACATCTTTTACAGAAACCGTCTGGCCTTCTCGTTTTGACTCCTTGGCAGTATCTTCAGAAGATTCTTCATCCTTTAGCCTATGCACAATTGTCTGGACTGTTTTGACCATATTCTTCAGTTCATCAGGATATGGAGTTGGATATCTCTTCAGGTTGCCTTCCTGCACAGCAAAAACCAATAATGTTTTACATTTAATCAAATGCCATAATTAAAACATCAGCTTTAGAACAGAAAATGAATTAGGACAAAACACTGAAAAATCTAGGATCTCCAGTTTGCTGTTTGAGTCTACCTGCACTGATTCAGATTTAACCTTATAAAACTCAGCAAGACTAAAAATCACCTTCTTTTCCTAAAAATAAATAAATAAATAAATAAATGTGTCGATTGATTGCAAGCAGGAATAATTACGACAACTGTATTTACTTAAAACCACACAGTCTCCTAGTTATGCCCAACCTTGCCTTGCATCACCTGGGATTTTTAACTTTGTGCTCCATTTTAAACAATATGGCCAAAAAAACCCAACAAACTAAACCAAAAAAAGTCAAACCAAACCCATGGTGTTTCACCCTGACAGATACTCTTAAGTGCAGACTTGATTTCTTCAGCAGACCAAATTCCACACGCAAAGTAACGGATGGGATGCAGGGGTGGGGTAATAAGAGGGAGGGAAGCACCAAGTATTCAAAAATAAATTCAACACTAACCCGAGGTGGTGCCTCTCTCTCATCTTTGTCTTCATCACACTCAAATGCCACTTGAGCACGCTGTTTCCGCTGTTCCTCCCACAGAGATGGATTGAAACTTTCATTATCAGATATGAACATAACTAAAAGACAAAAAGACTCATAAGAATAGGATACATAATGCAAAACAAAAATCTTTCTCTTGGATGGGATTGGTGTGCTATTGCATGCATTCCTAAAAGATAAGAGACTAGCAGCATCATTAATTGAAGATCAGCTGCACTGCCACTGCTTTATGAACTTGACTGTATTTTCATAATAGTAAAATCACCCCTGTGAAGTAAAAAACATACACACAGCTGTTCACTAGTCTCAACACTCACACATGAAGCAGAACTCTCCTGCAAAGTATTTTTATTCCTATATATGTATAAATATGAAAATATTCATTTGTATATATAAGAATGTAGATTATATAGATTTACACAGCCTGACTTCAGTGATGTGGTCTCATTAAGCACATTAGAATGTTCAACTGATCTCATTTCATTCAAAAATTAAGAATGACTTAGTGAAAAAATCTGCATTATTACTGATTATGGAAAAAAACCCTAAAGCATCTAAAACTTCAGTAAACACAGGATTTTGCAGAAGTTATACAAATGACAGGAGATTTACAAATCATTTCTTGCTTAATTTGTAAGACATAAAAATTCTTTTGCATAACCACTGTCTCTTATTCTAGCATGTCTTCATGGCTTGTGTTATATCAGCTAGGTTCTACTTTAGCATGCCAAATAGTCCAGTAAATCTGCCACCACCACCCCAGTAAATGTATAACCTTCCCTACCAATGCCCAGACTGTTCATATGAACTTCTATTCCTGAAATAGAAAAATACTTAATTATAGGGCTCAACAAATGCATTGGAGTATTTGTTACTCTGTGTTTACTGGGTAAACCTAGAAGTTTAACACATCTAAAAGTATTGTAATAGACTTCACTGTCACAGAAACTGTTCCTGCCCAAAACCTGAGCTTGACACTGAACTTAAAAAAAAAATTTGAATTTAAAAAATGCTATGTATTGAATTTTAAACCTTCCTTTTGGAATGACCACCTCAGAGGCAGTATTCTGTCAACATAAGACAAATAAGCAGACCTTTCCTTGTCTATAGAAAGGAATCCTGGCACCTGGATAAAAAAAATTTCAGATGGAGAGAATGCTTTCAGGAACAATTAATAGCTTCACTGAATCTCCAAAAGATTTTATAATTCTCACATTCTATCACAGGTATTGCAGATGCATTACCTGCATTTTACTGCGTAAGGCAGTAAAAGTGATGCGCAATTTACTGTTTTTACTGATATTTTTTATTACTCCTCTCTCAGTGTACTAGACACTTATGCCATAGAACAGCAAATGTTGCCACTAGTCAATTTCAATTATATTCGTGGATATGTGCCTCCCCCCTCAAGTTCTGTTGAAGCAGCACAAGCTTTTTCCTTTTACCTGTATAGAAAAGAAAGTGGAGAAATAAAGAGATTTGTGTTCCTGGAGAAATCTGGAGAGGGACTTTTTACAAGGGTATGTAGTGACAGGACCAGGGGCACAGTTTAAAGCTGAAACAGGATAGATTCAGCTAGGTATTAGGAAAAAATTCTTCACTGTGAGGGTGGTGAGACACTGCCACAGGTTGCCCAGAGAAGTTGTGGCTTCCCCATCCCTGGTAGTGTTCAAGGCCAGGCTGGATGGGGCTTTGGGCAACCTGCTCTAGTGGAAGGTGTCCCTGCCCATGGCAGTTTACCTCAAAATTTTATTTAAGTACTATATAGCAAAAATTATTTTAGCTAGACAGTCTTCCCATTATTATTTTCAAAAGTAAGCATTCTGATAGAGTACTTGAGAGATTCTTACCATCCTCAGTCCTTGGTTGCTGGGGGAACATGTAATTAGTAAGCACTGTTTTCTGTGTGTCAGGGTCAGCTTCTTTTTGAAGAGGGATAAGTGGTTTAGACTAGGAAGAAAATGAAAGAAGAATATGTTATGACAATATATACAGAAAAGTAAATATGATTTACATATCACAGAGCATGCCTGCCCTTATTACTTTGAAGACCTTGTATTAAACCACTTCTCCTCTGAATAATTTTCACAACATGAAGTTATTACCATGTCTGTCTTTGATGACTGGCTTTGACTGAGAACTGAAACTCTGTAACAGCTTTAAGAGAAAAGCAATCACTGGATATTCAAAATTAACCCAGTTTCTTGCTAGGACATATTACTATCCTCAAGCAGACAGATCTGGAATAGAGAGATATATTTGGCCATTTAAAGCTGCAGTCATACAAAGAGAAAAAAATTTAACTCAATTTTTCATACTGACACAAGAGCAGGGGATTCTTGAAATGACTGTATTAGTAAAAGGACTTTCTACCATGTCTAAGGCTAGTGGATTCCTGGCAGCCCTGTACACCTTAATACTGTTCAAAAAATCAGCACATGCAGAGAGCTTCAATAGACAGCAAAAATACAAGCCACTAGCACACGAATTACTGCTTAACAATTTACAACTCTGACAGTCACAGAGTTCCAAGATGTGGCAGGACACCTAGCTCAACAAAAGGCATGATGAGTTTCCCCAGTGATCTAACTGTGGAAGAAAGAGCATGCTACACATTCAAGCACTAGCTTATCAAACACAAACTCACCTACGTAAACAAGCCTTATAAAAACAAAACCGAAAAAAAATCCAGTAGCTCTAAATTTCACGTCTTAACATCACAGAACTTTGCTGGAAGTCTGAAAGTCTCCAAAGACAGGTAGGTTCCATTTTTTTTATTTTAGGAGAATGGACATAGTCATGTCAAGGAACTACTGGTGCATAGACACAATATCAGGTCTCATTATTTAACAGATGGCTCAGTAATTGTCAATTCCATTAGTAATAAAGCCAACAATCATCCATTTTTAACTTTAAAATAGTTACCTGATTGTCTGATAGCCACATAGCAGTGAGCTGTTGCAGTTTTGTAAAGGTAAATGGTAAATTCTTCAGTCTGTAAATTACAACAAGAATTTATATAAGTACATCTATCAATACTGTTAAGACTGTTAAAAATAAATCCTGCATTAGCCCACAAAAATGTTCAAAAAGGACATTTACAGATGCAGTTAAACTAGTAACTACTGACAGCTGAAAAGCAACAGAATTTAATTTATATTCAAAGCTATATCTGGAATTAATAACTCAATATAAATGCATGCTGATTAACAAAGAAGTACTACACCTGAAAACTGTTGTTTTTTGCTAAAGACATATGTGTGGGAACAGGGACTGCCCTGGATAATGGGAGCTGTGTCATTAATGTATAACTCAAGCTACAGATGCAATACAAAGAAGCCGGACTGGTGGAACAGGAGGGAGAACTCAGAGTTCTCTTCCAATATATCTCAATTCTACAAACCAGTAATTCAAAAAAAATGTTTTGTCCATTTTTAATGACCAGCTCTAATAATACACATCTCTCTCTCCATAGAATCATAGAATTGTTTGGGTTGGAAGGGACCTTAGAGATCATCTAGTTCCAAACCCCTGCCATGGACAGGGATACCTTCCACTGCACCAGGTTGCCTAAAACCCATAAAACCTGGCCTTGAACACTGCCATGGATAGGGCAGCCACGCGGGCCTTGACCCCTGCCATGGAGAGGGCAGCCACAGCTTCTCTGGGAACATGCTCCAGTGTCTCACCACCCACACCGTGAAGAATTTCTTCCTAATATCCAATCTAAATCTACCTTTTTTCAGTTTAAGGGCATTCCCCCTTGTCCTATCACTAATGCGCTTGTATACAGCCCCTCTCCAGCTTTCCTGTGAGCCCCCCCACACCTAGGCACTGGAAGCTGCTCTAAGGTCTCCCTGGAGTCTTCTCTTCTGCAGGCTGAAAAACCAACTCCAGTTCTCTCAGCCTGTCTCTATAGGAGAGGTGCTCCAGCCCACTGACCGCTTCAACAGGTCAACATCTTTCTTGTGGGCCCCAGAGCTGGATGCAGTACTGCAGGTGGGATCTCGTGAGAGCAGAGAGAGCAGAGTAGAGGGGAAGAATCACCTCCCCTGACCTGCTGATGACATTTCTTTTGATGAAGTCCAGGATACAGTTGGTTTCTGGGCTGCGAGCGCACACTGCAGGTCATGTTGAGCTTCTCATCAACCAGCAAACCCAGGTCCTCCTCCTCAGGGCTGCTCTCAATCTAGTTGCTGCCCAGCCTGTAGTTGCCCTGACCAAGGTGCAGGACCATGCATTTTGCTTTGTTGGGCTTCATGAGGTTTGCATGGGCCCACCTCTTAAGCCTGTCACAGTCCCTCTGGACCCAAGACATTCTCCCTTCCCCAGCACGCTCCAGTGTTTTACACTATATGCTGTGATACAGTTTTGTGTCCTACATGTGCAGTATAGGAGACTCTTACTTTTTGAGCAAGAATCAAAAGTTTCATGAAAATAACCAAGCTAATTCCCCACAAAAATAATGTGCATTGAACCTGTGTCATTAAAGACAGCTTAATAAAATGGAACTGTACAATCTACAATACAATGAAGTATATTAAATACATGCATTTCAGTCAAATTCTAAACTGCGCATGAGATGAGGAAAGATAACATAATATATTTGAAAAAATACCTCTACATTATTACTGCATTTTACAGTTTCTACTTGAATAAATGCATTCACAAACCTATTGTCACTTAGATTGATGACTTTTAATTTCTGCATATCACCCATTTCTTCAGGGAGGAATTCAAGCTTATTAGAATGCAGAAACAAAACTGTTACATGCTTCCAGTTTCCAATCTGAAAGAAACACCCAAAGAATTAATTCATTTTCACAACTCCAAATTCGCAAATTTTTACTGTTTTAGAACAATTAGTATTAAAGCTATCTCTACAGGTAAAGTATAATTAGATTTATTCTTACATATTAAAATTCTCTTAGTTTCAGTACACTAGCAGTAAATTTCTACTTGCTTAAATAAATTGAGAATTTCATTATTTGAAAACTTGTATGTTGGTACATATCCTCTTCTAAAAACCTACACAAAGACTATCTACTCTAGAACTGTTAACCAAAAGTTGTACAAACTATATAGTTAAAAAGACATTAAAAAAATCTTCCGCAGTTTGGTAATTAAATACGTACCTCTGATGGCAGCTGTGTTAAAAAGTTATGATCTGCAGCAAATGTCCTTATATTACAGAGTTGCCCAACAGACGAAGGCAATGTTTCAATCTCATTGAAACTACAGTCCAGCTCTTCTACTGACATCAACCTGTAAAAAAAATAAATAAATAAATAAAAAATTACTTCTATATATGCTGAAAAGAGATATGGTACAAATACCCTTCCTTCAGTTTATTCTGAACCAATTATTTTTGCTACCATTTGTGATGTTTAAATTGAACTGCCAAACACCAAATCACACATTTAAAAAAAACCTGCTGATAAATAGGTGAAAAATCTCCCTGTAATGTAAAAAAGAAATGTATGTGTTCAGATTGACTTCTTACAAGCATTTTGATAGTGGTTCAATCATTTGCAATATTTACCAGAGCCATGTTACTACCAAAACCCAGATGCAGGCAGCTGACCGCCTTTTTAAACATCTTGTTTTCATTCACATCCAAATTTTCTTTTATATACTGGTAGCTGCATTAAGTGAGGAACATGTGTCTTTTGATAGTAAATAATACATAAAAAACATACATGCTTCAAGCAACAAGAGAGATATGAAAGTACTTGCCTTCAGTTTTATTGGCATTAGCATGTAGAAGAAATTAAATGAACTAGGTGTAAAAACATTCAAAAGAGAAGCCACTGTTACAGAAAAGGGTGGAGAAAGGCAATTCATCCCTTTATTAAGGTGAAATACCTACCCTCCTATGGAGTCTGGCAAATATATTAACTGGTTTTCATCAATTTTAAGTGTTGTTACCTTCTTCAGAGAACCTGTAATAAAATGAACAAGTCAGTCAAAAAGGACATTTGAGTTCATTAAGCTTAGTTTTAATTTCAAATTGGTGCAGGGGTGAATAACCAACCAACAAAAAAATCAGAACAAAAACCAAACCAAAACAAAAAAGACAACAACACCACCAACAATAAAAAACTGTGGGCAAGCAGTAACATCTTCTATAGTCCCTGGCATGTGTATAGTGCTATATACCTAAGGAAATAAGCAGACGAGTTACAGAATTTGTTTGCCAGCCTACCATGTGTCAGCCATGGAAGGGGAAATAGCTTTTTTACTCTGTTACAGTCAACAGTTTCTCACTCATTTACAAAGTCTCTATATAAAGTCTAGAATGCTCCAAAACAAATTTTATTATTCAGCTAGCATTACAGCTTTATCCAAATCTGGCACTTTTAATCAACTGAAACAGACCTAAAATGCCATTTATCTATTCTCAAGTGTTCTGTATCTAAAGTATAAGTTTTTAAGAACAAAAAATAACTGAAAATACAAACCAATAGACTCTGGCAGTTGCTGAAGTGAATTACTGGATAACAGTAGGTCTTGCAGGCTTTCACAACCTGAAATGCCTTCTTCAACTACTTCAATGTTGTTTTTAGAAACATCCAAGTAGGTCAGTTGTTTCAAAGTGCCTATGAACTAAAAATAAGAGAAAATAATGTATTCTAGAAAGTGCAAGTTCAAAACAAAAAATCCAGCAGATGACAACAAATTGTCTCTCAGGTGTAATGCCAGAGGAAAGAGAGAAAACCTACTTATAATACTGAAAAAATCAATTTCATGCGATATATCCAAGCTTTATAATGAAATATTTTATGCAGATACAAACAGTTGATGTTTTTCCACACACACACAAACACACCACCACAATTCTGCAAGTCTCTGAAGTCAGACTGATGCAAAGTCAATGTTTTGATCAGTTACTGTGAATCAAGTAACTGAAGCTGTAGAACAGACTTCAGAAATACATAAGGCTATCACTAGGCTCCAGTAAAGCCTTTTATGCTTATTTTTCCCTTTTGTGTAAAACTGCATCCTACTTAACCTCAAAGCCAACAACAATGAATCCCTAATTGTAATAAACTGAAGAAACTAGCTAAAATATAAGCTTGTATTACCTTTCCCTATGAACCAAGAGTAAGTTTGAAGATGTAGTCACTTTCATAAATAGTTTTACTGTAAAGTAAAAATGTTCACTATATCAACTCGACCCTTCAAGGAAGAATTAGCTGAAGTGAGGAAGGACAGCAAAGAGGACTACTGATTAGGCAAGAAAAACCTCACATCAGAAGACTGCTAGTGATTTTAAGTTTGAAAACAGACCAGTTGCTTCCCAAAGTTAAAACACTCTTTTACTAGTTTGCTACAGCCTAAGCACAGGTTCACAAGCACTGCAATAACAGGTCAGCCTAAACCCCATGTAATTCCGAGAGATGTCAAGAATGCAGAGTCAACAGAACATTTGTCAGGAACTGGCTATGCTCCCTGTATACAGATAGCACCTGAACAGGCACTCCTTGCTTCACAGCTGTGACCACCAAAATCTCATAGAACATACTTACCCTGTAAATTCATTCTTGCTGTCTAACACAAAATAATCCCTTTATGGAAGGACCCCAAATTTGATTGAGGATTTGATCTACGATTTTACCCTTTTCCTGAATTAGACCATAATTTTTACATAAGAATTACGTAACTTTCAATGAAAGAAAAGCTGTGTATCCAGCTGTCATGACCAGTGACAATTTCTATGTGGACTAGTTAAGCATTTAAGTGGCATTTAGCCTTTTGGCTTTAAGTACCATTAAAATTACATTGCAATTTGAACATACATAATCACTGACAAAGCGAAAAACACTGTAAATTAAAAACTTACCCCTGGAATAAGCGTTAGTCTATTACCATCCATCCAAAATTCCTTTAACCCACTCAGTTGTTCAAGTACTTCAGGCTGTAAAGGGAAGTAATTTTTAAAAAGTTTGTAAAAAAATAAAGAAGCAGCGAAAGGCAAACCCAACTTTATTGATTTATCTATTGCAACTGTAAGTAACGTCTTACTGTAGTTGCTACATACACTTTTTTCACTGGCTCAAAGAAAACCCAGATAATTCACTTATTGAAATGTAAATACATATTAGATACACAAAAATCTCTTTAAGAACTTGATGACAGCATTAAATAATCTTTATAGAAAGGGCAGGTTTTTTGCTTGTTTTGGCTTTGTTTTTTTTTTTATTTTACAGAAAGTATTATTTTTCAATGGGAGAAGACAGTAAGTGTTATGTGTAGAATTTCCTCCTTTGTGAACAAGTTCTAATACCCCTCACATTTCATCAACTCAGAAGGCCTGTTTTTCAAAAACCACAGTTCTGTTGTTTTAAAGAAAAGGGAAACAAATTTGAATTTTCTAGCAACAAAGGGTGCATCTGCATGACAGAAGCAAACCACTCCATCCATAAAGTGAAGTTTAGATTGTGGCTCCATTCCAATTTAATGGTAAAAGTATCTTATGTATCAGGGGTCTCCCTTCCTGCCCTTTTTATAGAGAGATGTCACACCGGCCAACCTACAATCCTCTGGGAGATAGATACTGGAGAGTGGCTTAGCAAGCTCCTCTGCAGCTCCTTCAGCACTCTTGGCTGTAACCCATCCAGCCCCATAGGCTTGTGTATGTCTAAGTGGAACAGGAGATTGCTAACCATTTCTTCCTGAATTATGGGGACTTCAATGAGCAACCTTTCCTGCCATCCAACTCAGAGAACTGAGTACCCTGAGGGTGGCTGGTGTGACTTAAAGACTGAAGCAAAGGCAGCATTAAGTACTTCAGCCTTTTCCTCATACTTAGTCACTAGGTTTCCCCCAGTATCCAGCAGAGGATGGAAGTTCTCCTTTGGCTCTCCTTTTATTGATCATATGTTTGTAAAATAACTTTTTATTATCTCTTACGGCAGTGGCCAGATTTAGTTCGATCTGCGCTTTCACCTTTCTAACTTTCTCTCTACACAACCTAACAACATCCTTGTACTTTTCACAGAGTGACACTCCCTTCTTCTACTGGTAATAAGTTCTCTTTTTTTTTCCTGAGTTCAAGCAATATCTCTCTGTTCAGCCAGGCTAGTCTTCTTCCCCACCAGTTTGATTTTCGGCACATATATTTACATTAAAACAGGTTAAAGAGATTTATAAAAGATACAACGCTCTGTTACAAATGTGAAACTCACCACTTCTGTGAATTCATTACTTCCTAAGTCCAGTCTCTCCAGCTGAGTCAGTCTGGACATGGTTCTGCACAGGAAGGCGATTAATAAGGAATTAGGTTTAAGAAAATATCAATTACACCTGGTCTTCCTGTATTCATACACATATATTATTTTTATTAGTATTAAGTAGTGATGCTGTTCTGTAACTGGACTGGTACCAAAATAAGGCCAAATTTTCACACAGTGTTCAACCAGACAAATACTGATGACCAGGCTGACTGTTGACTGTCACACAGAGCACACTGCATCTCATCTACAGATTCTTTTACAAACATTAAAGACCACTAATGTAATATTTATGATATACAGTAACTCAGTGAAGTTACTCTTCTTTTGAGTCCTTCAGCTTTTCACTTAGAGTTACAGTAAGTCTTCTCAGCAGTCAAAAGCTGGTTAACTACATGTTTTCCTCCTAAAGAAAGATCACTGCCTAATCATCAGCTGAAACAGAAAAGGCCACTGTTGAACTCCAGTAACCTGCACCAACTTTCTCCCTCCAGACTGCTGAGGCTTGATATGTTCTGTTTTTACTCTAATGGTTTGGTAAAGATGCACCGTATATGTGTGTCAGACGAACAGACTCTAAGGTCCAACTTTTTTTTTTTTCCTATTTTCCTTCCTCCTGTACACCATTCAACTCCGAGGTCAAACTTTTACACAACTAACACAAGATTCACAGAACCTAAGCAATAATGCTTCTCTCCTCCCTGCTGCCAAATTCCACTCGATACATAAATCCCACTCCAATACAACAGAAGATCGAGGTGTTCCCCTCCCTTCTCATCCTGCCAGTGCTACACCCTTAATAGTTCTAAGGCAACCCAAAGTTGCCACTCTTGTCATTCTAATCTTCACTGTCTTACTAAAAATAAAATAAAACAAAAATACCATTACAGTTTTTTATTAAGGGTCCTGGTCTTAGCATTTGGAACTAGAGCAAATATCTGCAAATATCTCTCAAGTATGTGCAAAATTCATGTTATCTAAATCTGTCAGTATAATAAAGTAACTTAATTGATTTTGGGCTGTTTTTAACTTGCCAAAATGTCTGTAATCTAGGAAACACATCCACTCAACTGTAAAATATACACAAATGTGTTTACAAGACCAGGGCCTCAGTTATTTTCCTCCCTTTCCCCACTGCCTGCCTAATCTATAGCACTTGCAGCTATTCTATGACAAATACCTCTCTGCTTTTCTGTATTGTTTATAAAGCAACTATACCTTCAGACAAAATGCAAACAAAGCATCAATAATATTAAAGCAAAAGGAAAATTCAATGCTAAAGGAAGAGGAATATAGGACTGGAAACAAAAATTTACTGTATCACTGAGTTATACCTATTTCTATCTTAGCCACAGTGCTGTTTAATCCCTTCCATAAATTGAAAAATCTCTTTCATAATTCATATTATTAAACTCATTGTCAAATCACTCCAACACTAACGGATCAAGTAGTCTAAATTATGCCTCAGATTCTAATGTTGTGAATTGTCAGCTTCACTAAGGTAACACTACAACTTTCTTCGAGCAGCATACAATTGAAAAGGTGTGTGTGACAGCAAGATTGGGCCCTGAATCGTCATTATTACACTCTCTAATAACTTGCTTCTTGCTAAAAAGGTTACTTTTTTTTATTGACAATTAGGCAACAGACAGAAGCTTAAAAAAAAACAAAACAAACCCCAACGACAATCTTTTTGTATTTCCATTGGACAATTTTCCCAACTTATTTATCAGATAAATGCCTCTAAAATAGTCTCTGTATGGGTTTTTTTTGCATTCTTTTTTGAAGAAATATTTTCATTGCGCTACTTTGCATCATAATACTGCCAGTTTTGCAGTCTCTGGCTGTGGATAAGCCTCAAGCAAAACGATGCATTTCACACAAAGCAAGGTTGATTTAGTGTGTTGGCATTAATTACCCATTCTGATTAACAGTCTTTCAAGTCCTTTATGCTTTAGCGTTAAAAATTATGTGCATGTTTAATTCAGCAACATGGCTAGCTGATTTTGTAGAAATTTACCCAAGTATATTTCTCATTACAAATCTGAAAGAATTTGCAGTTAAGTATGAAAATATTAAAAGGTGAGAGTAACAGGTAAACAAGAAAAGATAGTCATATTTTACAGCAAAACTATTAGCATATACTGCTGTATCTTACTAGCTTCAAAACACTCCCACCCTTTGGATTTTCTACGCTGTTTAAAGTTGTACAGCATATTCCTTTTAAAACACGTACTCAGTTTGGAAAACTGTTAGTAAAAATTTCATATCAGCTTCTGTTCTAACATAATAGTTAAGGCCAAGCCATGGACGCTTTGCTGACCAGGTCAACTGCTGCATGCTTGTATTACCAACAAGACACCTCTTTTGAGGTACATACTATGGACACCAGAATGAATTATTTCTCCGCAGTGTACATCATACATAAACAACATATGTTTCCTGTGCTTTCCTGTAGCAAAATGCATATTAATGCAGTTACATTAAAAAAAAAAAAAAAAAAAAAAAAAAAAAAAAAGGAAAGAGTAGTTTCAATAGCTTTAATCTCCCTTAATTGAACCACAAGAGTATCAGAAGAGAATAATAAAGGTGGCAGCTCAGCATGTAGTGTACATCATTACCGAGTTGCTGCAGAGGACATCTTTATGACAGCTGAAGATTATTTTTTCAGCAAGGATGAAACCCTGTAAACACTGAAATCAACAAAATATTCCCAGCAATTTCAACAGAAGTTGTGGTTGGCTTAAATGCTTTACAGTATTTGTTTAAATGTTTCTTATCACTACAAGAAACCTCCGTAAACTACACTTTTTAAAATAGCACGTATTATTCATGCTATTAGAGTTAATTATGGCAATTAAGGTCAGAGTAATTTTATAAACAAATCTGTATTAGCTATAAGTTTTAATTATAGCTACTGTTCCTCATTTGGGAGTAATCTAATTTACAGAGCTACTACCCCAAATTACATGTTCTCCAATTTTTTTCTACTGCAAATAAGTGATAGCCAGAAAGAGCAAAGGAGGATAGAAAGTATTTCTATCACAGGAATGAGTAGAATGTTTCATACTTGGAAGATTTAAATCCACACTTTCTGATGCTATGCGTTTCATTCCCCATATGAGTTCTGGCATCTTTATACAGCAGATACCACACTACTGTATCTAGGCACAGAAAAAGGGAATAACAATAGGACATACCTTTGTCATGTCTTAGGCATGTAATTAGCTACAGTCACTAAGAAAACTGTTGTACTTGAAGAGCTGGCAATTCAGACTTCAACCTACATGCAAGTCTATGCTAGCATACGAGTTGGACAGAGTGGATATTCAATTGTTAGCTCCTCCTCTTCACCAAAACATCTTACATTCACTGAAAGCAGTATCTCTCTATACCAGTTTCTGCCGCCAGAGGAGGAACCCTTTTACAGAACACAACATGTTCAAGACTCCACAGCTGGTTACTCACATCCCATCTTTGGGATCTCTGTTTCTCTCTTCATTGACCTTTTATACCTCTGTTCACCCACTCAGACCTCCAGGGTCCAAGTCAGAAAATTCTGAGCATTGCTCTAGCTCATAGAAACAGCAGAAACTGCAACATCATCAGCCTGTTTGATGAAATGAGTGACAATTGCAAGGCAGGATTTAGAAAGATGCTAGATTTTAAGAAAGAGGTACAATTGAATTTACTGTTAAAACAAATGCTGTAAGACTTTTGAGAACTATTTTACTATTACAGAAAACATGTCTGAGGAACAGGCTGCCATTATGTTAAACAAGCCTGCTGCACTGTGGGATAGGTACAGCATAACAAATTCCATGCAACACAATGAGTTATTTTCTTCAGCACTGAAGTATATTACACTATAAGAAGTGTACAAGTCATGTGAATTGCATTCCCTCAGTAATTCTGAACAAGCATGTCAACCACCAGATTTTATTTAGAGATAATGATTTTAATTACTGATGCCTAAGTCTCAGAACCCTCAGAACCATCAGAACCATACCCTGACAGACATCTGGGTAGCCATACAATACTGTGTGCAAGAAGCATCAGACATCTCAATGATCACCCTGAGGTGCTGACTTAAAAGGTGGAACAGATATCCATAAAGCTGGACAGAGATAAAAAAACACCTGAACAGGCAGATCTCTGAGTAGGCAGACCAATCAGTCTGAAGGGAGATATAATTTCAGCAGTATGAAGGGAAAGTTCCCTGTGAGTACTTAGTCCACTTAGCTACACATTTTAGCTATGATCTACATTTCAATATGCTCTACAATATTAGTGTAACTACAGAAAAAAATCCTCCAAAGTAGTTTAAATAAATGTCTTCTATACTTACTTTGGCAATATTTTTAACTGGTTTTCTCTAAGTTCCAATATCTGGAGTTTAGTTAATCTGTAACAGAAAAGCACAATAAATTATCACAATATACTGTATTTTATGACAAAAGCAATCTGCGAACTTATTTATATTGCTGAGTTTCAAAAAAAAAAAAGAAAAATCTACAAGTTTGAAGTATTTTTGCTGTAAGAATACAAATGTTTTGTGCAAAAATCTACATGTTATTTTAAATTCATTTATTCTTTGGGGTTTAGTTTTGGTAAAGCAGAGAGCAAACTAGATCTTGTCTCCTTTTCAACACTAGTTTGAACACATTTGCTTTCCTTCATCCCAAAGATTTTAAAGCACTTCGTGGGATTCATTATGGCAACAATAATCTTATTCAATATGTTACCATATACAGAAGTACACAGGAAGTAGTGGAAGAAAGGTAGGATCAATCCAAGTTAAGATGCTGCATTTCTAATACTGGCAATGTACCAAACTATTTTGTATAGGAAGCTTCATCAGAGGAATAACACAAGTCTTCCACCTAGTTTACCTAAAAGCAACCTTTAAATTCATCTTGGGTTTCCTCCCATATTCTTTTTCCCATCAGCTTCTTAACCCATTTTGATATTTCTGTTAGAAGGCAGTTTGACCTTTCTTTCAGTAAATTCTTGGTTGTAAGATAAATAACCTCTAAATCCCAATAACTCAACTGCTTGGCCAAGATAAGTTCAAAACAGTCTTGACATTCAGCAATGTACCATTCCCAGTGGAATTTTTTGCATCAGGACAGCAGTGACAAGACTATCTCTTTATTAATGAAATGCAGAAACTGAGTTTAGTTTAAATACAGACAGGATTATAAAGCAAGAGTTCTACATGTGACCAACTAACAGCCCTCATACCACACAAAATAGAGCATTAAGCTTCTGACTCAAAAAGGAGCTTAGCAAACAGCACAGTCTTTCCTGAAGGTGCTTAAATAAGTACGTTTTAAGGACAAAAACCTTAATTTTGATTAAGTAGTAAGAACTATACTTAAAGTAAAAATAGAAAGCTGAAAAGAGCATTTATTTTTCCTCCAGACATTCACTCATTTTTGGATGAATTTGAAAGCAGCAATCTGCTGCGCCTAAGAATATAACAGTCACCTTGAAACAGAGCAGAGGTCAGCATAGCCCAGCATTGCAAGCAGTACTTGCCATCTGGTAGCAACTGCTGGAGGGGAACCTCCTTCCCCCAGCTTCACAAAGAAAAATCAACACAGCAACAGGGCTGAAGGAATACTGTAATAAAAATCCACTCCATGCTAATATCATTGCTGTCAGTCTGGGACATAACTGGGAAGATTTCCAAACCTCCTTACCCTACCTGCATCTTAAGGTACCAATCTCTGACAAAACAGAACTAGTTTAAGCATTCTCAGATGAATGGTCATTTTGGGCTTGGAATTCTGAACCGCAAAACAACCAAACACTGCATTAGGCTTCAGCTGGTGTTTTGATTTGATGACAGGTAAAACAGCTACGCAGTTTGTAGTTTTTCTTCGTAATATGTGTATGCAGTCAAATGGCTCAGCTGCGTGCAGCAGAAGCAAATCTCTGTTCATATGCTAAACTACACATATATATATGCACTTTGTGGATTTTAGCCAGAACTAACTGTACTACACTTCTAACAAGCCAATTCTGTGAACTTAAAGACTGCCTTTGCGGATAGAAAGGTTCATAGCTGTGTGATCTTGTTTCACTTTCTACTCTTTCTCCAGCTAACTCTAAGAAATCGAAGATAAAGTAACAAATTTCTTACCTGTAGAGCTACACACAGGCTACTAGGGCAACATTTGTAATCTCTCCTGGCTGTGATATACAGGCTGTGTCTAAACTAGTAATTTTCTTGCAGTAATTGATGAGAAATAGCGGACTGAAGCAGTTGTAACTTCTTCCATTGACTGGAAGGGTTAATTCAAGTTTAATGTAATAATACACATCAAATACTCCACCTAGCTGATTTAAATTGCTGGTGTAAACACCCATGCTAAGCATCTGAACTGCTATAATGGAACTGAAAAAATGGGGCTTAATTTGAAAATACAGAGGGAGGACTAGTTCACCTATACTAAAGAAAAGAGAGAAGTCATTGTGGCAGAATATATATTTCCTGTGCCATTCTATCACAAAGATTTGCCATACTCATACAGAAATATTTCATTTCCCAACTTGAAAAACCCGTTATCACAAATATTTACACATCACCTAAACACAAAGCTGTAACAGAGTATTATTCAACTTTTAAGTATACCTGGTGTAACAGTCTCAAAATTATTATTGCAGTGTGGTTATTTAATGTAACCAACTTAGCCTGCTTTTAAAATCTAGCTCAACTTTTAAACAAAACAAATCTCTGCATGAATGTCTTGCCATGTTAGGATCAATATTCTTGCTAAAATTAGATTTTTTAATTATACAATCTGTGAAAAACATAGAAGAAATACATAGCAGGTATACTTGGAAACTTGCCATTCAACAGCAGTCATGTCTTGGAAAGCAAAACATAGCAAAAAATATTTCAGAGATGTTCTTTATTTTTTACCTCGTTTGCAGTTTTGCTAAAGCAGAACTTTTTTTATTTTTTTTTTTTTTTTATTGTAAGTAAAGACAAAAGGACTGAAACATATGTATTCCATAGCAGGTTGCATTTGCAAAGGTTTCAGAAAAATTGCATACATTTAACTAAATCAAGTCCCCAATTTAATTATTACTGTATGTTTATGCAAAAAATTATCCCAGAGTAAACATATCTAAACATATCTGCTACTGCAAATACCTCTGGGAAATTATTAAGAAAGAAGATTAAAAGGAAATTCATTGCAACATCACAGTAAAAAGTCTCTGGAAGCAACATCCCATTACAGACAACATTCTCAAGAGTTTTTAGAATGGCATGGAAGATAAACTCCTTGCTTATCTTAAACAACCAACAGTAAATAATGTTTCATTTCTGTTTCAATTCTAAAGCCCTGTCTCAAAATTAGCATGCAGTGAGCTTCAAGCTTATAATTCTCTGCTTATATATTTGTAAAATTTAAATATACATGATGTATTTAAATGCAACAGATTTGGTTTTCTTAGGTAAGTATAAGCAATTCTCATTTCTGTGCACTGCTGGCATAAAGGCTAACTCTGGGATCTGTGCCAATATTAATACATTCAAATTAGAATTTGGGAGTGGAAGAAAAAAACCCCACTTTATCAGAATTCCAAAGGAACTGGCACATTTAATCAAAGGCCTGGTGATTTTTAATAAGTTTAACAAGCTGGACTGGTACAACATCACTGAGGGACAGCAAGCATGCAGTGCTCATAAAGAAGGGGAAAAAAGATTGGATAATCTTGAACTCAGTAGTATGTAAAGCTTTAAGCGCAAATTTTGAAGGCCAGGATAAAACATGGAGGCAAATATAATAAAATGCTACATGGATATTCTAAAAGCAGTTTGCATTACACAGTTTCTTTCCTAAGCATCAGCCTGAGTATCACTGACAGAGACTCATTCTGGGGCTATTCTGTTCAATATATTTTAGGAGCAGGAGATAGGAAAACAGTTAAGTTGGCTGATGCCACAAGACACAGTCACAGACAGTACAATGAATTATTAGGACACTGTAGGGAAACAAAAACCCAGTACAACCTTAAGGACTGAAAAAAAAAAAACCCAGAAAAGTGACAAGATGCCACAGCATCAAGTCAAGTACTCGTGATTTCCTTGCAGAGACATCAGCCATTTCCAACTGAGCTGTCCAATGCAGTAGTCGATCAAGTGCGAAATTATACTATCTGCAAAAAGGGCTAGTGGAACACTACAGCATAACCACACACATTTCCAAAAGAAACAAGAAGATAATCATGACACTGTACAAGCCATGAAGAGATCTCAATTTGAACTCTAAATATAGCTACATATGTCATCATCCTCCATCAAAAAGATGATGAATTCAAACTGGAACTCATTCCAAGATGCATTAATAAAATCAAGCACAAAGGAAAACTTAACATACTAGACGGAAACACTTTTGTTTAGTCTAACAAACTAAAAGAGGGATATGAGAACACTGTAAAACAGCAGGTGAGAGAATGTGCGACAACACTAATGAGAGACAACAGCAATTAAACTGGAACAAATTAATACAGTCAGAGAGAAACTGATCTGGGAAACCAGGTTTCTAACCTGAACTGCTGGCAGAGACACCCTGACACATGGAGCATAAAAACCTTTCTAGCTTTAATATGACACTGGCTGAGTTTTTAAGATGCATTATTGCCAGTAAGAGCAGGCAAAAGAACTCAATTGCTTCATGTGTTCCCATGCAATGAAAAGTAATAGCTATAAGGCAATACACAAAACAACTAATGTGCCAAACTGGAAGAAGCTGAAGTCTTGTCCTTTATGGGAATAACCAGCTATGCTCTAAATATCCCAAAAGCTTCTACCAGAGCTTTTTGGTTTGTTTGTTTTTTAAAAATGTATTCCCACATTATGAAGTACAAGTTAAATGACTGCGCTAGCATTTATGCCTGCTTGTAAAGTTGTGGGGTGGCAGAGCAGTCTGATCACTTACAGAAGTACTTCAATGTCAAGGGGGTTTGAACCTTACTTTGAAATTACATTTTACCAATTCATCGTTTTCTAATTTATTTGATCTAAATAGTATCTTCCTATAGAATAGTATTTATTCTGTGCTATACCATGATTAACAGGCAAACTTATATGATTACTTTCAGTTCATTTAAAAACAGCCGATGAGAAGTTTCCATTTCAGTTTCAAGCTAGGATGCTGCAAGTCACTATTTCTATTTTAAAAAACAAGCCTGTATTCTCAATAGTTCCTAAAAGAAGCACTACACTGGAGAACTGCCATTCAAGGTGCCTTCAGTAGCCGATTTATTCTTAAGCTGTTAGTAATTAATGACCTCACCATTTCCCTAACCATTAAAGAAGCAGTGATGAAGAAAAAACTCTAATGAGGCTCCTTAAAATTATGTGTAATATTAACTACTGATAAGATCAACTGTGTCAACCTGCAGTCTTCAATTTCATCTGTAGTACCTGTCTTTTTTAAGCAAATCTCGCCATTTGGTTAGACTAAAAAACAGAACAATGTACAGGCAATCATTAAAATGCCAACAAGTAAAAACTATGCATCTCCGAGATATTTCTTCTTCAACCTTACTGAAAGCTTTTGAAATGCAAACTTTGTGTACTAGAAACAAGCACAATAATTAATTCTCCTGAATCATAAGCAGCTTTTTTGTTAGCTGAGTATGTACCAAATCTGGTGCTTTTAATCGTTCATCAGGGAATGACTAGTAACTGGGCAGAGAAGAACAGGCCAGCAACTCCAGTCACAAGTGACTAATAAACTAATGGTCACTAACGAAGTGGACTTGTGCTCATACTTCATTGTACATCTCCTGATCTACCAAACTTCTAGAGCACTACATTTGGGGGCATTTCTAATCTCTTGTAAACTCTGCTGACCCAGCTATATGGATAAGATACGGACCTGCTGGACAGGGTCCAGAGGAGGCCACAAAAATCATTGGAGGGATGGAATACCTTTTCTATGTGGAAAGGCTGAGAGAATTGGGGTTGTTGAGCCTGGAGAAGAGAAGACTTCAGGGAGACCTTATTGCAGCCTTTCAGTATTCAAAAGGGGCCTATAAGAAAGATGGGAAGAGACTTTTCAGCAGGGCCTGTTCCGATAGGATATGGGGTGATGGTTTTAAACTAACAGAGGGGAGATTCAGGCTGGATGTGAGGAAGAAATCTTTTACAGTGAGGGTGGTAAAATACTGGCACATGTTGCCCAGAGAGGTGGCGGATGCACCATCCCTGGAGACATTCAACGCCGACTGGATGTAGTTCTGGGCAATCTGATCTAGTTGAAGATGTCCCTGCTCTCTGCAGAAGCGCTGGACTAGATGACCTTTGAAGGTCCCTTCCAACCCAAACTATTCCATGATTCTATGAACTATAACCATACAGATTAAGGCAATTGCTTTCATGCAGCAATGCCTGTTCATGTAATAGGTGTGTTCCCTGAAGAGTGAACCTAGGAAAAGGGAGCATAAAATAAAAGCAAAGAGAGTGGGGGGGGAAGTAGAAATGGCTAAATCAGCATGATAAGGAGAACAGGATGAACTAAGCACAGCTAGGAGTCTTCCTTTTAACAATATTATCCTTCCACTTCAACTGCCAAGATTTATTCCATTTTAAAGATGTAGGGGTTTGGTATTTGTCTTGTATTTAAGCTATTACATGTAACAATTTTGCTTAGTCAGGACACCATAAACATGCTAAGTCTTTCAGAAAGATTCCTGACAACAAGGGATCTGAGAATTATAGATGTGTATGAAGAAAGTGGGCATCTAGGAGGGGACAAGTGGAATTACAGATGTCATTATTTGCTTCACTACAATTACTAAACAATAAACAACCCATATATCAGAAATACTAGTCTCTCGTACATACCAGACTTGTGCTGTAAAAGAAGGAAGTATGTAAATGAGTTTTACTTCTTGGCTTTTCATAAGCTTTCTGACTGTCCTTCAAAAGTCCAATTAAAAAATGGTAATAAAGATTTTTTCTGTAACTAAAAAAATGGATTGGTAACGGACATTTCTTCCCCTCCTCCAGTTTACACTTTGCCTTAGAAGCAGCAGAAACTGCTCTGTATAAATTTAAAACTAAATATAGATACTAAGTTTTAAATTCAACTTACCTGCCAAAATTGGCTGGCAAAAACTCAAGAAAAGCATCATTCAGGTACAGCTGCGTCAGGTTTAGCAGTTGGGAAAATCCATCTGGAAGTCTATATAGAAATAATGTAATGGGTTTGTTTCAATTATGTTCAAGGCATTAAATCATATTTTCTTAAACAATAGTACAGTATTAAGTCCTACATGCTGATAACATCAAAATTAAGGTAATACCAGAATTTCTACAAAATTGCACTAGATACTACATGCTCTCTTTAAGGTTACTTTCAAAATTATTTTTAAGTATTGAGTACTAAGTATCTACAGGTAATAAATTATACAAACGATAAATGTAGCCTTCCTATCTGTGATCTCCTGACACCTCCTAAGGAGGAGGAACTTATTAAAGACAGTAATATAATTAAAACCCACACAGATATTTTTTCCCCAGAAGAGTTACACTGCACAAATCTACCCATATAAGCCAAGTTTGAAACAGAGTGGTATAGGCTTTAGAGTAAAATTACTGCTATTAAGAAAGAAAACTCTTCATATTTCTCTACATTCACAGATAAATGATAGACTTAGAAAAGCTGAGAAAGCCATATGGTATAATGCAGGATTGCCCACATAGCCTACTAACTTGGGCAAAATACTTCAATGACATAGCTCTACTACATCACAGTGCAATGAGCTTAACGAATATACCTCTCGAGTAACTCTGTTGCTTGCCTCCCAGGGTTGGTGCATGTCTGGGGCAAGTTTGAGACTCAGCAGTGTTTGCACAAAATATAAAACATCGAAAAATTACAGACTTACTTTGAAATTGGATTTACGCTGGCCTCAACAACTGTCAAAACTTTACAGTTCTTTATATTTTCTGGAAACTCCTGTATGCCTGCAAAAGACAAGAAGAAGTAGGGAAACAGTCTTAAATTATTAGACTCCATCAGAGGCATAAAAATGATGCACATAAAAAAACACTGACCATAAAAACTTTAATTGTTCTAGTGAACAATGAACTGGTTCTTTGGTATTTCACTTTAGACACAGTTTTCATTAAAGAAGTATACGCAGTATCAATTCTTTCACTATTCTATCCCTAAAGGATTTCATAGTGCAGCTTAGCAGACAGCTTATCAAGTAACATTATAAAGACACTGTACACTAACTTCCCACTGCTCATTACCAAATATTGAAGTATTTGTACTTTGTAATGTACCTAAGATCAGGCCCTGAGTACCAATATTATATAAGGCAGGGGGGAAGGGAAGGACAGAGAGAGAGGGGGAGGGTAAAGGCACTAATTCATATGGTAGAACAAAGTTTCCAACACGATGTATTTGTCAAATGCCTGGCTTGTATAACATCTAGGTGAAATGGTAAGGTTTCAAAACTTGAAGTATGTTTACAGTATTCACCGTTCCGAACAGATATCCCAAAATGTGATATATGCTTGCTGTTAGCTTCAGATTATTTATAGGAAAGGACAAAAACGTTACAGACACACTTACGTTTGAAAATTAAAACAATAGGTAGCCACCTCTTTTTCCAAGTTTATCTCCAGAAACGCCAGAGTGAATTTGCAATCCACATATCTGCCCAAGCTCTATTTGTCAGAACTGACAAAACAGGCCTTGAAAACAGAAGAGAGGTATCCACCATGCCAGTGGGGTATCAGTACTGAATCATTCTACTGCCCAAGACTTTCACCTCAATCTTTACTTTACCATACGAATAACTAAAACCGTGGTTATCACACCTGAAATTGCTTTTTCAATGTGTCACTACATTGCTCTTACACCCTGGGACAGGTGTGTTTATTTTAAACAAAGGTCCTAAGTATAACAATTTTTATAGCAATCCTTACAGTTGGATTAAGAATACACTATTTTTTCCAAGAAAAAAAACTGCTATGCCAGTAAAATACTGTTTAAAAAAACTTGGGTTTGCCTTTTAAACAATGCAAGTAACTAACTGCTTCTAGAGTGCTTCATCAAGTGTGTGGAGAGGGCAGCCTGAAGTCAGGGAATGAGACTACTAAGAAGAAACTGTATTCTGTGGATGCTTGTTTTTATGCTAGTGACAGTGAGACATTTCGTGCTGCTCCAAGCAATATTAACTTTCTTACAGTTCAGCTGCACAGAGAAAGACAACAGCATTGTGTCTTCTCATTCAGAACAGTAGGTGGGACTTGGTTATCTCTCTCCGTGTATATGTTCTGAGAATACCGAAGCAGAAAAAACGTGGCAAAACATCAACTGCTACATAGTGGTTCTACTTACATAAGAAATTACAAAATTTCTGATACTAGTCTGGAGTCTGCTTCTTTCTATGTTTGTGCAGTAACAAGACTGACCTGGTATGTTAGGACTTAAGATTTGGCAATACCACCTGACAAGAAAAGTAGTCATAAAACACATACTTTAACACTAAGTCAATTGGGGATGTTGAGTAGCGAAGTCACCATGCTAACTTTTCCATAAATTCAATGTATGCAGAAACATCATTTCTGTCAAAGCAAACTTTAAGGTCTTCCTTAACAGGCATTTTTTTGCCGTACTAAATGGTTAAAACTATTATTTTTGACTCGTAACAGGTATTGTACTCCGTTACTGAGAGGTGAAAGGCAAGAAAAGCACAGTAAGCCATGCAGTTAATCCAGCTGTTTAAATACCTCTAAGTACCATGAAGCCTTTTGGGAGACAGCTTGTTGAACTTGAGAACAACAAAATATAGAAGCACAGGGGACCAGTAGCAATTGAATCGTCAACTATAATATACATGAAGATTTCTAACACTTCTGGTTTACTCCTACACCTGTTCATGTATATGCACATGTGTTAATAAATACGGCTGCCCATTCTGGGAGTGTTCAAGGCCAGGCTGGATGGGGCTTGGTGCAACTTGGTCTAGTGGAAGGCGTGCCTGCCCATGGCAGGAGGGCTGCAAATAGATGACCTTTGAGGTGCCTTCCAACCGCCAGGGTTGGAGCATTCACAGCTTCCTTGGGCAACCTATTCCAGTGCCTCACCACCCTCACGTTGGAGAACTTCTTCCTTATAGCTAATCTAAACTTCCCCTGTTTAAGTTTGAACCCATTACCCCTTGTTCTGTCACTACAGTCCCTAATGAGGAGTTCCTCCCCAGCATCCTTACAGGCCCCTTTTCAGATACTGGAAGGCTGCTATGAGGTCTCCACGCAGTCTTCTCTTCTCCAGGCTGAACAGCCCCAATTTTCTCAGCCTGTCTTCATACGGGAGGTGCTCCAGCCCCCTGATCATCCTCGTGTCCCTCCTCTGGACTTGCTCCAACAGCTCCATGTTCTTTTTCTGTTGAGGACACCAGAACTGTGCACAATACTCCAAGTGAGGTCTCACGAGAGCAGAGCAGAGGGGCAGGATCACCTCCTTCAACCTGCTGGTCACACTTCTTTTGATGCAGCCCAGGATACGGTTGGTTTCTGGGCTGCGAGCGCACACTGAAGCTGGCTCATGTCAAGCTTCTCATCAACCAACACCCCCAAGTCCTTCTCCGCAGGGCTGCTCAAAGCCAGGCTGGACAGAGCCTTGGGCAACATGGTTTAGCACGAGATGTCCCTGCCCATGGTGGGGGCGGGGGGGTGGAACTAGATGATCTTAAGGTCCTTTCCAACCCAAACCATTCTATGATTCCATGATGTATATAGCTTCAGCCATGTGAGGTTTACTGGGGCTGTAAGTGGAGTTGAAGCAGAAAAATGACAATAGGGAATACTGATTTAACTCACTACATCATAATACTTTGATGTAATGCTGCTTCATTTCTGGAAAGCAGCAGTGATATTTTCAAGTTCAAGGACATGTTTAAAGAAAGATTACAAAACTACCTTAGAAAGACTAGAAATGTACATTACCAATTGCTGTCATATAATCTTAGTATTTAGAGAAGCATTTCCAATAAATTTAAACATTGGAGGCAAAGTTGTGTTTCAGACTCACACTGTGCCATTAGTTTCACTGTTTGAATCACATTGAGAGATTCTCTAAGTTTAGTTTTTAAGGTCACACTACTGGCCCCGGCTTGGTCCTTGGATGAAAGATTGCATGGTGAAATATTATAATGTGTTGCCCAGAGAAGCTGTGGCTGCCCCGTCCCTGGAAGTGTCAAAGGCCAGGCTGGGTGGGGCTTGGAGCAACCTGCTCTAGTGGAAGGTTCCCTGCCCATGTCAGGGGGATGGAACTAGATGATATTTAAGGTCCCTTCCAAACCATTTTATGATTTTATGATTATATGTTAAACCTCATGTTCTTAATATTAGTTTCCACTGCCTGTGTCAAGAATTCATTGAAACTCAGAAGACTAAAATCTGTCATAACTAACTAGAAAACAAAATACAGAGCACAGCTGCTAGAGAGGAAAATGTCAACGTAAACTTACTCCCAAAAGAACAGCCAAATAAAATATTAGCTGTCCAAATACAGACATGTTAAACCAGTATGCTTTCGTACATAATCAGAGGACTCTACGGTAGTCTCCTGTTTGACTATGCCTTGGGCAAAAGGCAGCAACAGTTTTAACAACAAATTAACAACAGAAATTCAACTGATATGACAAAGCTAACAATGAAAGAGCCTCTGAATTTAATTTTGCTGCTGCTTAGAACCAGGATTGTTATGGTACACACCATCTTTACAAACCTCACTCAGTACTTCAGTATGGATGTCAGCCATCATTTGAAAGAGCAGTAAATTGGGAATGACAGCATGAAATTAACCTAATGTTTGTAGTACATATTGAGAAGAGAATAAACAGGGGACTGCTCCTCTCTACCATGTGACAGGAAGCTGCATTTATTACCTGACTATACAACAACCTCAGACACTCACTTTCCCTCAGTCCTTTTCCTACTGCATGCTAGAAACATGCAGTTACTGCTGGATTAGTATTCTTTCAGTTCTCCCACTAAGAAATCAAATTTTAAAAGCAAGTATGATGGAAGAGCATGTAAGAAGGCTGAGAGACACTTGAAAAAGATCTGAGACGATGAATGGCTCTAAAGAGCACTTTATAAGAGAATCTGTTCCTTGTTTCTCTGTTTTCCACCTATCTTTAGTGTCCTGAATCTTCTTCCTCATTAAGGAAGCTCAGCATAACTCAAGGGTTTCTGTGACCACATCTTTCTGCACTCTTTTTCTAATACTGTGCTAATGAATCAATTTGATCACCACTCCCACCCTCCATGAGCATCTGATCAAAGGAGCACTGCAAATTGAGATCCACATTACTTTCTAAATCTCATTTTTCTTTCTTTATATACTGATACTCAAGGATTATAGAAGGCAGTGCCACAGATTACTTAGGAGTTATCTAGTCTGTTGTAGCCTTATCCACTTTCCTTGAAAAGTCTCATATCGATGGTTCCTCATCCTGCTGTTTCTTACTGTACATGATAACAGCCATCAACCGCAACTGACTTCAGTGCTGTAACTCATTTACAGATCACACTTACCATTTTCCAAAAAAAACCAGCCCAAAACAACAAAACCACCAAACCATCCCACTTGTGGACTATGACCACTTGCAGAGCAGAGAAGAAAATACAATTTGCTGGTAATCTCTAATTTTAACTATCAGACTCAAACTGAATTGAGAGGAACTGTAGTACAGTTTCCCACCAAAGTGTGCTTTATGTAACAGCTTTTAGTATTTACTTGCCTGTTCCTTCCTCCCTGTTTTTCCCAATTTAACGTATTTTTAAACTCACTGGTTGTTTTGTACCAAAAACAACACA